AGTCAATATCGGAGATTTAAAAATCCAAAAAAATATCGATATATCGGCTTTATTTAAAAAAAACAACCGTAAGTCATTTTAGTTTAGTTCATTTATTATATTTATTAAGCAAATTAAATTATAAATGTATGAAAATGTTAGATTATAGTTCGTACTAATTATTGGGTGCGTTTGGCAGAAAAAAGCGCTAGCAAGCGCTTATAAGCGCTGAAATAGTTTTCGGCCAGGACACTATTGCTACTTCAATAGCGCTGACACAATCCGCCATTTTGCTTATTTAATTTGCTTGTTTTGAAGTAGAGTTTATAAGTTATTTTGTGCAATATTAGTTTTAAGTAATATAATGACATGAATAAACATATACATGTTATTAAAATTCATGATTGGTAAGTTTTTAATATGTATACTTTACAAACATATATTTAAATTAGGTTAGGTTCCCCGGTTAAAACTAACATCGTGTCCTGGAGGAAAATAGCTACTTACGATTTGACAGCGCTTACCGCTTACGATCGCCATTTTGCTTACAAGCGCTTGCTAGCGCTTTTTTCTGCCAAACGCACCCATTGTTTAATTTAAATATGACGATTATGTGTACCGATATTTTTCCGTAATAGTTTTAAAAAATACCCGTTGTTTTATATGTTCTGCTGTTAAATATGTTTAGAATCACAGGTGCTACAGATGTAGCTGAAGAAATCATATATTTAACAGCTATTTACATAGAACGGGATTAAACTGTCTACCCAGCAGACAGCTGATGACGACAGTAACTCAAGTTGATAAGACGCCTAACCGATCAAAATAACTTGAGGTTTATATTAACATCGAAGCACTTGTTTCGTCGTTTTCTCTAATTGTTTACACGCACAGACACTTAAATCACAAAATCGTATCACTTTTACGAATGAATATACACTTCAAACCATTGTTTAAGCGATAAAACAGAAGCAAAAAATCTATCGACGGTCTAGTTCCCGCCAAAACACAAAGTAAAGTAATGTTTCATAGATTTTTGTAATTTATTTGGAGGAAATAAATAATAGAATAAAAATAAAGACATAATAAATCCGAACTTCATTTAAAATCAAACATATAAATTGTAAAGTAGCTGCAGGTATCTATAACCAAGTAAAAGATATTCATTTTATCCACCTTGTCCATGTTTCCCAAAACAATTTTTAAATAAGCTTTATATTAGAATGCGGATTTTTTATATTTACAAATTTAATAGTAAAGCATTTCGTAAGTCTCAGCCGAGGCGCAAATATTTTTTGGTCGCAAATTTATAACACCGATTTGTTGTTCAAACATAAACATGGTTTTTTAATTAAATCTACCAATCAAAAAATGACACGCATTGTTATTGAACACTTCCTATTCAATTCACAAATACCTATTTTTTTATTGAAACAGAATCTACAGCTTGTAAATTTACTAATATATATAAACAAGTTTTGAACATATCATGTAATATAGAAACCTTTATAGATTTACATTTTTTTATATTTGTTTATATAAAAAAGTATATTTACAATCATAAAACTAACTGGAAACACAAACTAGGCAAATGTAAAAATGCTGGAGGCAGGCAGCCCTATCGCATGTTTACGTACCACGCGGCTGTAGGCATTTAATTGAGAGATACGGCCGAGTTACAATACTGTATAGATAATATTACCGTGTCTGCGTCGATCATCGAGCGAACGCGTAAATGCTGGTGCTACACTATCGGGAAACGTCAATGCCTTATAGGCATACGCACAAATGTAACGCGATAAAGTTGGCTACATTTGAACGCTCCACGTCATTAAATTTCAATGCCATTGAACGGCGTTAAAGTTGGCGTTAATGTTCCTTGAAGACTTTTTATATTTGTTAAAAATGGTTCTATAAAAACCCAATAGGTTTTCCTTCGCCTTTCTAATTCTTCGTATTCATCATCATCATCATTACAGCCCTTCACAAGTCCACTGCTGAACATAGGCCTCCCCCAAGTAATGCCACAAAGCACGGTCCTGAGCCACCTGCATCCATCGACTTCCTGCATGTCTTACCAGGTCGTCACTTTATCTAGTCGCCGGGGGTCGCCCTACACTACGCTTAGCGGTACGAAGCTGCCACTCGAGAACCTTTCTTCCCCATCGGTTATCGGTTCTTCGAGCTATATGGCCGGCCCATTGCCACTTCAGCTTACTAATCCGTTGGGCTATGTCGGTCACTCTGGTTTTACTGCGGATATCCTCATTTCTGAGTCTATCACGCAGAGAAACTCCGAGCATAGCCCTCTCCATAGCTCGCTGAGCGACCTTAAGCGTCCTCATACGGCCAGCAGTGAAGGACCACGTCTCAGATCCGTAAGTCATCACTGGCAACACGCACTGGTTGTACAATCTAGTTTTTAGAGATTGAGGTATACCTGACGAAAAGATATGCCGTAATTTCCCGAACGCTGCCCAGCCGAGTTGAATCCGTCGATTGACCTCTCGGTCGAAGTTGGACTTACCTAGTCGGACTATTTGTCCCAGGTAAACGTATTCGTCAACAACTTCGAGCATAGTGCTCCCAACAACTACCGGCATAGGTGTGACATGGACATTGAACATGATCTTTGTTTTGTCCATGTTCATCTTAAGACCTATCCGTTGGGAGGCACTATTGAGGTCATTGAGCATAGTGCTTAAGTCCTCCAGCGATTCTGCCATAAGGACTATATCGTCGGCAAATCGAAGGTGAGTGATGTACTCGCCATTGATGTCAATACCGTATCCTTTCCAGTCCAGTAGCTTGAAAACGTCTTCCAATGCAGCGGTGAAGAGTTTCGGGGATATAACGTCACCCTGTCTTACACCTCTCTGCAGTTGGATAGGTTTCGAGCTCTGGTTCTTTACTCGGATAGCCATCGTAGCCCTACTGTACAAACACTTCAGCACTTCGATATACCGACAGTCAACTTGGCACCGCTGAAGGGACTGTAGCACCGCCCAAATTTCGACGGAATCAAAGGCTTTCTCATAGTCCACATACGCCAGGCAAAGTGGCAGATTGTACTCTTCAGTCTTCTGTACAATCTGCCGCAGGGTATGTATGTGGTCTATGGTACTGAAGCCTTTTCGGAAACCGGCTTGTTCGGGAGGCTGGAAGTCGTCAAGTCTGCGTGCGAGACGATTCGTAATGACTCTCGAAAACAGCACGTTCTTCGTATTAAAAGATAATAATTGGATATGCGTGGCAAAGCATCATGTTGCGCTGTACTATTCTTAAAAATTGAGTCTCGGATCCCACAAATATGGCTCTGTTTGCAGGATCTTAAGAAACGTAATAACTTTTTTATTATTCCGCTCCATCATAGCCATATGTGCGATCCTGTTGCGCTCATCGTGCAGTCAGACAAACGTAGTGTGGCCGTTTCAATGTGTTAATTCATGCGTTAATCTCTTTGATTTACCACTACTCGAGTTATCGCCAAACGCATTGTTAATATCATTGTCAAATTAACGCGTTAAGTCGTGGCCACACCTACATTCAACGTCCATCAACGCGATAATTAACGGCATTCCTCGTTAGTGTGGCCCCAGCATAAGATTGTACAAAAATGATAAAATAAACAAGCTCCGTGGCGCAGTGGCTTAGCGATGAGTTTCTGCGCTGGGGGCCGCAGGTTCGAATCTCGCGCGGAACAAGTATTTGTATGGTCTGCAAATAATTGTTCCGAGTCTGGATGTTTATCCTTGTGCAAATTATGCTTGTTAAACTGTCTCCACGATACGGGAGAAAATCCTAGTGTGGGGATAATGTTTTTTTTAAAGATAAAGTCTAGAATTAATAAAATAATTATTAAATTTGTTTGATAATCAAATATGTTGAGTTTTATAAAATAATTTTTTTGTATTGTATTAGGTTACATAACACATATTAACTAAACTAAATATAGGTACACTATATTTAGTTTAGTTTTCTTTATTTACGTTTAGTGCCATCATTTAAAAACAACTTAAGATTTCGCACTCACGATCAGTTTTTGGATTTACGTCAGTTCGACTGAGCAGTTTCAACTGACAGTGGGATCGAAAAAATCCGTGGGTTGTCGTCAGTTGAAAATTTCAACTTACGATTCCACACTCACGGTCAGTTTTTGGATGTTCGTCAGTTCAACTGATCATTTTAACTGACCGTGTGTGGCGTCCATAATATACACGTCACTGCGTTTTTATGCATGTTTAAAGTTTATTTTCATTTTTATTATATCACTTGACAGTCCTAAGAAAACCCACGTTTTAAAAAACGACAATATTTACTAATATTGAAGTTATTTCAAAATCATTTCAAAACCTACAAACCCAATGCTTTCAGTCATTACTTTGCACCATTTAAAAGATATTCAAACTTGTTTTTATTTAACGTAGAAAACATGTTTTCCGAAACTATCATCATTTTCTGCGTTCAAGCATTTTATCATAACATTGTGTGTGAACTACAGAAATAAAAGATATCGATTTTTTCAGCTTGTAATTCAGTGAAGTAGAACGAGTAGAATATAACCTTCAAACAATGGGTGCGTTTGGCAGAAAAAAGCGCTAGCAAGCGCTTATAAGCAAAATGGCGAAACTAAACAGTTTTCGGCCTGGACACGAGCGCTGACACAATCCGCCATTTTGCTTATTTAATTTGTTTGTTTTGAAGTAGAGTTTATAAGTTGTTTTGTGCAATATTAGTTTTAAGTAATAAATGACATGAATAAACATATTATACATGTTATTAAAAATTCATGATTTGTAAGTTTTTAATATGAATACTTTACAAACATATATTTAAATTAGGTTAGGTTCCCCGGTTAAAACTAACTTCGTGGCCTAGAGGAAAATAGCTACTTACGATTTGACAGCGCTTACCGCTTACGATCGCCATTTTGCTTACAAGCGCTTGCTAGCGCTTTTTCCTTCCAAACGCACCCAATATGACGCAATTATTTGTCATAATTATGATTTTTTTTTTAATTAATGAGACGATCTCTGCCTACTGCCTGGGCTTCAGACTGGCCTACGAAGCTCTTCTGGCAGCCGCTGCTACCAGCGCTTTCACAGCCGCCGCTTCCTTGCGGAGGTTTAGGCTGGGCTGATTACGGTGTCGGCTGCGATCTAGCTGCCGCCAGTGGGGGTGGGTGGTTTCCCTGTCTCCAGTGCTTTCCCATTCCACCCGTTGGTGTATCCATGCTCTCTGAGAACGAGATTGCAGGTATCTTGTCTGTAGATGGTGTTGCCATTCTTGGGTACCGTTGGTCTGGAGGACGTCCTTCCAACTGTTGGTACTGGTGCAGTCTCTTACCTCTGCGGTAACGGTGCCGTAGGAATAGTGAGCAAAGATATCGCTCCTGCTTGGTGCTACCCTGCAGCCGCTGGCTTAGCGTACGGACCAGGCCTTGCTGCAGAAATCGGTTACGGTCCCGCTATCGCTGGACGTCTCTTCGGCGGCTGCGGATACAGTATCTACTAAACCATTTTATTGAACCGCACCGTGGTCGTGGAGAGAGAGTAGTATCGGCTCATTATCATTATTATCGTTACATCCCTTCACAAGTCCACTGCTGAACATATACTGGTTCTTGAGTGGCAGCCTCGTACCGGTGCGAAGTGAAAGGCACCCCCCCCTTTGCTGGAGTGACAACCTGATAAAACATGCCGGAAATCGATGAATGCAGATGGCTCAGGACCTTACTTTGAGGCATTCCTTGGCGGAAGCGTATGTTCAGCAGTGGACTTGTAAAGGGCTGTAATGAACGAATGCATGAAGGTGGTAGTAAGCCACGACTATGGGATGTGCCAAAACATGTGACGCCTTCCGACCGTTAGCGATATATATATATATATATATATATATATATATATATATATATATATATATATATATATAGTTTACGCGATAAGCGTCAAAAGTGTGAGACATCTGGTACTGCGATGTCAATACAATTAAACTTACCGTAGTAATAACTGGTGATTAATAAAACAAATCAAAACTATTTCAATATTTTTATTTTCTAGGGGACGATTTTTTAGTAGACACCGCAACTGCAGCCAGACACGAAGACAGAAGGCTGAAGGCACGTCCAGCGATAGCGGGACTGTAACTGATTCGTGCAGCAAGGCTTTGGCCGTAGTCCAAACCTGTAGCGGCAAGGTAGCCCCAAGCCGGGGCGATATCTTCGCTTACTATTCCCACAGCACCGTTGCCGCAGCCGTGAGATAGACAAGATACCTCCGATCTCGTTCTTAGAGAGAACGGATACACCAACGGGCGGGATTGGGGAAAAACTAGAGACAGAGAAACCACCCCCGCTGGCTGTCGGGATGGCTGCTAGACCGCAGCCGGCGCCGTAACAGCCGTAACAGGTGGCGGCGCAGGGAGTAGCGGCTGCCAGAGGAGCTTCCGAGAGGAATCCGGAGCCCAAGCAGTAGGCAGAGATTGTCTAAAATATAAACATAAATCACTTTAAAACAATGAGTTCACTTTCTTCGTATGGCCCCCAATTCCAACTTAAGCACGTGTAGATAATAGTACTTAATGTAAATAACTTTTTGTAATTTAGATATCACGTTTACAAGAAATACGGAAATATATTTATGACGCTAAATTTACCTGAACCAAGAATGCTTGTGCGCAAACCAGGATTATAGCAAACATGTTTAATGTATTTTTGAAATAAGTGTAATTACAATTCGGGTTAAAAGGCTTAATATATAGTACATGTTAATGTGTTGAAATTATAATGAAGCAACTTGATGCAATTAAGAGAACGTGACATATACGTAAAAAAAACAGGTTACAAAAAGTGAAATATATTTTTAATTTCGATATACTTATAGGTATATAGAACTGTCCAATTATGATAGTATTATGTACTTCATCAGCCCATGAAAATCCACGGCTGATCACATGGTACGACAGTGGGAGTGTTCTCCTGCTGTCGTAGGTACCATGTGTTGGATGTATAGCGGGATGGTGTGTGTGTGTAATAGAATATGTGTAGGTCACAATCTGGTAAAAATTAATTGAGTCCAAGCGTACACAAGACAGTTAACATTTAATCACTGTAGAAAGATATCTACAGGACCTATACAATATATATATATATATATATATATATATATATATATATATATATATATATATATATATATATATATATATATATATAAGTTCCACACGACACAATATAAACGTTAATAGGTATATTAAAATGAAGGAGAAGAAAGCGATAGTATAAAACAAATTATAAGAAGTTAATATTCGCGAGATGACAAATGCGCACTACGGTTAGCCAGGCGACATGGGCTTTATGTATGCTGTCGGTAAGCAGACTGAAGCATAGATAAATAAATATGTAGCAAGCTAGACTGAAGCCCATAGATTACTGACTAAGTACTGAAGGCTGAAGCAGACGAGAAGTGGGCGTTAAATCAATAAACTGTTTTTTTCAACAGCTTTTCATTCATCAATGTGTTAACTATTCATTAATGAAAAAATAGGTTGAAAATATTAGCTTTCAATTTACGTCAACGCACTCAACGCATTTTTTTCAACATTATTTTATTCATTTCTGTGAATTTAGTCTCCTTCGGAAATATTCGTTACTTCCGGAGGATACCGAACACCGCCACGTCAACACATCGGACGCGGTCTTGTGCATGCGTGTGTGAGCGTGAGCAAGTAAAGAAAGTTAATTTGTTATTTGTTGAGAATTTGTATTTAGTGTGTGTAAACAATCCGTGAGCTTCGTTCAATACTAAAATTCGTTGCGATCCTTTTCTTTGCATTACGCGGTCGAGGACAAGTGTTTTTAAGTTTAGTTTATTTTATAAGTTTAAGTTTTACTGGTTGGGACATTATGTCAGTGGCACTTAGAAACACAAGTTTTCTCTGCCAAAGACAAAGACAATATAAAACTAATTGTGACTCACATAAAAAAATGCTCGTAGAGAAAGACTAAAACACTAGCAAAGACCTCAGACGAAATAAAAACTTTTTATTTCGTCTGAGGCAAAGACTTGCCGAGGATCACTTTGGAAGAATTAAAATAAAAATGGATTGGAACACCTGACAGAACCAACAGTTATGTCAGGTGTTGGAACCATTCGAAGAGTGGCCAAAAATATTTGACGGCGTGTTATCTTATAATAATGACACGCTGCCTGATAGAATGTTATTATTAAATATGAGAGAAAGGAAATTAAACATCAAATGTCCACGATATAGTTTCATTATTAAAATCAGGTTTATCAGACAGATTCAAAGGGATAGAGCAAAGTGGCACATTTAGTTTGTGTACTTTCTTGGACACAGATGCAGGGATTCGCAGACCACGTTGTAGCTGTCAAAACAAAAGATAAAGTACGAACGCTCGTCGCCACCGAAATATCCAAATTTGATACTGCAAAACTAACCCAAACTTCAAATCAAAATGAATTGACAAGAACTAGAATGAATTCTTCTCACGGAATATTTTTAATCAAATAATATAGCAATAAAAGAAGTGAACATCTATTTGGCCGACGACATATTACCAAGAACAAATACTACCGGTGACTGGAAGAATTCTTTGGAATGATGGAGAACTCACAATGTTTTATCCTTACTTAGCCAAAATTTACATAGAAAAATGTACTACGACTAGCAATATCAGTGCCATGCGAAAGAACGTGCTCCAAATCGGGGCTAATTGTAAATCAAAGAAGAACAAGACTAACTACCAGCAAAATAGAGAAACTGCTATTTTGAAATGTAAAATTAGACGGAAGCCGTTTTGCAAGTTATGAGATTTGATATGTAATTGTAAATAGAACAAAGGAAAAAAAACAAACAAAAAAAAATGATAAATAATGTATATACCCAGCCAATCCTAAGCCTGGAAAAAGTACGAAGAAATGGTCATTCCAGTTTAATAAACACAAAAGTAATTTTAGATACGAATTTATTCTTAACAAATCAATAAGCTTTAACTTAATCCACAACAAAACTGTTATTGATCGAAAACGTTGAAATATTAAATTGACGATTAACGCTAACACTTGCACCCGGCAAATCCCGAGCGCTCGCAAGCGACCGCACCCACCCACAGCACTTAAATCCATTAAAACATACCAAGCAAATGTCGGCAGCGTGAAAATCACAATTATTTCTATATAATACTCAAAATTATTTACGTAAATAAATAAATTATATTCACACAAAAACTTTCATTACAATTTTATAATAAAACACTATACTAAAACACTAGAAAAATCCAAAAATCAACAAAATACATTCACGCGAAAATGGCGTACGAAATAAACCTCGATTATAAATAAATATTCATAAGATAACAGTTTTTTTATTGCACTATAGGATAGAGTATTTTATATTGATTATATAATGCCAAACTTCTTCATAGAAAAGTAGTCTCTATATTATAAATTTTTATGGGTTAAAGTGCTGTGGGTGGGTGCGACCTCATGAGATCGCTAGGGATTTGACGGAATATGGACGCGGTCGCGTGCGACCGCTTGGGGGTTGAGGGTTTAAAATTTATTTTTTAAAAGTGTACAAACTAAATGATTATAAAGTGAAATATGTTTTAAAAAAAAGTCCTGCTGGGTTTCTTGCAAATTCTTCCTAGGACAGAGTAATCTGTAGTAAATAAAACATGACTTTCAATAAGTGTTATGTAATAATCTATATTTAATAATAATGTTGCGCGCCTAAGTTGACGTCAGGTACCTGGCACTAGCGCCATCTAGTGTCGGGGACCAGAGCGAGGAGGGCTTCCTAAAAAATGTCAATCTTGAACTTTCGACCAACAGCGCCATCTAGTATCGAACAGAAGAATTAAGCTTTCTAGAAGCCTCACACTTGAACTTTCTGCATCTGGTCGGTAGGCGCCCGTATTTACTAGAATATTATGGATGTTTCGGTGTAAAAGGTGTATTTAAAGCCGCTGCAAGATGCGTTCGGGGCAGTATTGAATTTGGCGAGTAAAGCGAAGCTTCAGAGCGAAATAAAGTGAATCAGTGTGATTAATTATTAGTGTCTTTTAAGTTTTAATTTGTGTTCGATAATAAAAGTGTAAATTTTGGTAATTCCATCGGCAGTTTTTGTTGTCACGAACCTCAAGCTCGTAACAATGGGTGTCAGAAGTGGGATAGAATCATGCAGATTACCTTAACTATTTACTACCTATTACCTATTACCTGAGGACGAAATGGAGCCTCCATCTCCCTACTCGAAGTCAACGCCAGCAGGAGACGGACCAGAGACGATTTAGTGGTGCAACGCCGCAAACGTCGGAGTGTCAGCCGCAGGCCACGGAGGCCGTCCCGTCAGTAGCTCCTGCATCTGCAGCACCTGACTTAGGTGCTCTGATGGTGATGTTGCAGGAGCAGGCCCGCGGACAGGAGGAACAGGCCCGTCGGTTGGAAGAGCAGCTGAAGCGCGGACAGGAGGAACAGGCCCGTCGGTTGAAAGAGCAGCAGGAGGAACAGGCTCGTCACTTAGAAGAGCAGCTCAAATGCGATAGGGAAGAGCAGATGCTTCTCATGAAGGACCTTCACGCTACCTTCGGGAAAGAGATAAGGGAGGTAAAGGATAAGGTTGCTCAACATGATAACCGCCTGTTGGAAGCTGAGACCCAAATCAACCAAGTTAAGAAAACGCTGGATGAACTCAAACTTGGAGATAGAATTACAGCCCCCTTTTTTTTACATGGGGAAATGCCTACGCATACCCGCCTCGCGGGGGCAAGGACGGGTTATGTCGGACTCGCACCGACTAAAACCCCATGGTGTTCCACCTTCGACGCATATTGGCAGGGCCACGGGGACGCTTTCGCACACATCCGCGGCCCTACCAGCGCCTGCCGCCCCACGGCAGCACCTCCTCGGGAGAGGAATATTCCTCCCCGTTCTCCTTCCCAGGTAAGGCACACCAGAACACATGGTGCGCCTTCCTCCACGGCCTTCAATTACACCTGCGCAACGGACGAGAATTACAGCCCCCGCAGTAGCTACAACACCTTCGCTACGTGGATTCAAAGTGCCGCCGTTTGACGGGACTTCTTCCTGGTCAGCCTACAAAATCCAGTTCGAGGCTGTCATGGAGGCGAATGGCTGGAGTAAAAGTCAGGCCATGACTGCACTCACCCTAGGCCTGCGTGACCAAGCCTTAACTGTGTTGGAAGCTCTCGGTAGGAAAGTGACCTACGAGCAGCTCGTTGAGGAGAGATATATTTAGATTGGAGGCGAGATATGGCGACGCTCACCTGGAACACGTCTTTCGTGCGCAGCTTAAAGATCGCGTGCAACGCAGCAACGAAAACCTGCAGCAGTGGGCCCTTGAGGTGGAGAAGATGGTTTGAAAAGCATACCAGTCTGTACCTGCGGTCATTGAAGGAAACCTGGTGCAGACATTCATCGACGGCATCCGCGACCTTGAAGTCAGAGCTGCTGTGAGGCTCAGGCACCACGAGAAGCTTAAGGACGCCTTGGCCCATGCACTGAAGGTGGAAGCCGTTCGGCAGGATCTTCGCTCCCATCGCGTCAGGGAGGTTGCGGCAGCTACAGATCGCGACCGCAATAATGGATACAGCCCTAGGTGCTATGGCTGTGGGGAAAGGGGCTATCTTCGATCCAGCTTAAATTGGAAATACTAATGATGGAAATACCAGCAGAAGGTTCTTTGAGAACCCCAAATTAGCCGCTGAAATAACTGGTATCAATTATGAGCTAATTTATAGACTAAAAGTCATATTGGAAGCGATTTCAAGCGGGTTCAAAAATGATCCCGTGAAATATGAAAGGTATGCTTTAGAAACTGCTCGTATTTACGTGAACCTATATGATTGGCATCCTATGACGCCAACAATGCACAAGATTTTAGTCCGTGGCGCAGTGATAATTGAAAAGGCATTATTACCAATCGGAACAGCTTTCCGAGGAAGCAGTTGAGGCTCGCAACAAACATTTTAGATGTTACCGCCAAGATTTTGCGAGGAAATTTTCCAGAAAAGATTGTAATCAGGATATTTTTAATCGCCTTCTGCTCAGTTCAGATCCTTTGCTCAGTAGCATGCGAACTGTAAAGAAAAGGAAAGCAGAAACATTTTTGCCTGAAACCTTAGCCATGTATCTGCGGAATCCAACATAGTATCTGAAAATTCATCAGAGAGCGACGAAGAAACTTAGCATTATTATATTTCTTTCTTTGTACCAATACAGCGATCTAAATATTATATTTTTTAAATATATGTTTTTTTTTTTTTGAAAATATAGTTTTTTTTTGAAAAATGTTTTTTTGTTTATTTACCTTGTTTAGATACCAATTAAGTATTAAAATAATTTTGGCCGCGTAGATCGTGCAAATACCTGTATGTGCGGCGAATGACCGCAGCGTCATAGATGCGATACGTCTGGCACTGCGATGATCAATAGCCAAGTGTCATGCTTTGAGCAAATTCTCCTTACAATGTTGTAGTTTGGACTAAGGTGCATTTATTTTTTCTGCAGATGGTTGAACGAAAGTTGCGTGTTAATTATAAGGTTTTCTATTTTCATTCTTATACACAGTACACCTGCTTAAGAATGAACATGTTAGGTGGTTGTTGTGACCCATAGACATCTACATCAACCCCCGATTACGAATCAAAATACAGATATATGTCCAATGGTTTTTGAGAATTCAAAAAAATTATTTAACAAACAGATATAGAGACACAGACACAGAGGTGACTCTGATAGTGATCAAATTTTGTTAAATATGGCACGAACCCACATTTATTAATATTGCTAACTTAAAGCCCACGCGAGCGAAGCTGCAGGTAAAAAGTTAGTATTATATAATCTTCTACTTTTATCACACACACACACACGTACGCACATTAAGGAGTTTAGAACTTTCAAGGTTAGTCCAGGTCATTCCATTCTTTCAACCAAAAGGTACTAGAATACTAGCTAATTACATAACGTTAATATGTTCAAAAGAGAAACAGTTTTAATGTAAGCAGACAAGGTTGCGTCTTGCTTGCATCAATATGAGCGTTATTTATTTATGTGTACACATTTACTTGGCAGAGAGACCATTTATCCTTATCATCGGAAACATTCTCGTGCAACTTGACGCAACTGGCTGTCGTAACAAAATTAATCATTATTAAATTCTGATATTTTACAGAATCTGCAGCTAACCGATGTTATGAAAGAAAACTGAAAGCTAAAAAAAATTAATGCGGAATTAATTACCCTTTACAAAAAGAGAGGCAAAGCTATGATCTTATCAAACCGAGACAACCAAGATTTCCTGTGAAAATAACTATGCTTAAAACTTTATTTGATAACTTAAACAACTCCTCAAATTTTTAATGAAGGTAGATTTCACCTGCAAAGAAGCTGGATTTTTTTTTTCAATTAATTTGCTGTTATATTTCTAAATATATGATTGTGACAAAAACTGGCGTGCTCTGTACATATATAACCTGCACAAGGTTACTAGCCAGGTATGTCGTACAGAACATCTTTTTATATTAAATGAATGTAATAGTAAAAAATAAATTCTTAAATTCTTTTATATTTATAAGATGACTTATGTGTATAACAAAAACTTGATGTAAGCTAAAATAAAAATATGTTGGTAGTTACTTAATTAAAAATACTTGTGTATTACACGTAAATATCTGTAAATACGACAGCCAAACGTGACAACTTTGGCAAAGTTGAGGCAATGCTATGCTAGGCGAGGCTATGAGGCAATCAATAGGGAAGGTCTACGTACAACGTAGGACTTTTTATAGGCTGTTGTGAAAATGAATGAATGAATTAATATACAGAACATATACACGGAAATAGTGACATTATTTTTTTTAAAATTTCTATGCATCCAAATTGTTATTGCAGTCTGCTGTGTAGCATTAAAGCTAGCTATATTATGGTTGTAGCACGAATGGGTCGGCTCAACCGGGGAAGGACCACGGTCTCACGGAACACCAGCGTATATATAATATATAACAGCGTATAAATAACTGCTGTGTTTCGTATGGTGAATGTAGAGATCCGGAGACTGTCTTTTACTGGAAACGACGTTTGCAGTGCACCGAAGCGGGATAATTCAGACCACACCAGTTCGAGGTAACTAGAATATAATGAATAGGGAAAACTTTTACCCCTTGCTATGTAAACTTAGACCGAGGCAATAGGATGATTCCAAAAGAAGTTATAGAAATGGATAACAGTAGTAAAATACTGCAAGAATTTCGATTTGAGATGAACTTTAAATACCATACCATAAATACCGGTTTAGTTTACTTTTAGAATACGTTATCGTAAATAAGAACTACCAAAATTGTAAATTAAGTTTTGACAGAAATAAATCATTACAAAGCACAAATATTGAATTTTATTTCACACGTTTCGTATTAAACTTCAGTATTTATAAAAAAAACCGCGTTAAGCTTTTCTAGGAGTAACTGAATATAAAAACAAGAAAGTGTAGCAAAACTCATAATTTGGGATCTAGCCTTCTATTAGTCATTGCCCGTGTAGGAAGGAAGCGGAAGTGAAGAAGATGGAAATACTGCCAGCTAATATAGTCAACTAAATGTGCGTTTTGGCGCAACCATGGGGGTATTCCCAGTACTCTGACCATGTAGTCTTACTATTAAGACTACGGGGAGTTTTCTTCCCAGTAGTCTACTGGTAAGACTAAGACTATTCGCGGTCGCGTAAGCACGAGCGAGCGGACGTGTAATCGGTTGAACGTAATTAATAGCGGAAAAAGCGTATTTTTCAAATAAATGGGTCGAAAATGTAACGGCTGCGATGCCGTAATATACGACATTTCGTACATGTAATGTGCAAGAGATGGATGCAAAAAATTGTACCATCTTAAGTGCTTGGCTATGACGAAGGATAAATACGCAGCATTTACCGAAGAATACAAGTGCAATTGGAGATGCCCGTAGTGTGTTTGCAGTGCACCGAAGCGGGATAATTCGGACACACCAGTACGAGGTAACTAGAATATAATGAATAGGTAAAACTTTTACCCCTTGCTATGTAAACTTAGACCGAGGCAATAGGATGATTCCAAAAGAAGTTATAGAAATGGATAACATAAAATACTGCAAGAATTGCAAGAATTTCGATTTGAGATGAACTTTAAAATAGATGAGCAAATAAGGGAGTACACTTTGCTCAAGGACAGGTTTGTTGATACCGAAACAGAATTACGTAAATTACGGGTTTCTATGAAAGTATTGCAGAAAAAGGCGAGCAAAGTCGATGAATTAGAAGCGCAGATAAAAACATTGGAGCAAAAAAATTAACAAAGAATTGTCAGAACAAAATCAGCCTGCAAAAAAAAGAAATGAGACAGTTAAGGAAATCAGAAAGGAGACTTTATCATTTGCAAAGGTACTAGAAGAATTTTTATAAAATCTTTTTATTTTTCGACATTAGAAATTATATAATGATTTCTTAAATTTACGCGAACACTACACATTGAATAAAACTAAATTTACGGATTCTATCGCGTTTATTTAACTGATTTTACTTATTTTTAATTCCCGACGTTTCGGGTGCTTTACAGCACCCATGGTCACGGGGTGGATTGAGATGTTTGACGTCCCAATGTCGTCGAAACGTCGGGAATTAAAAAATAAGTAAAATCAGTTAAATAAACGCGATAGAATCCGTAAATTTAGTTTTATTCAATTAGAAATTATAATTTTCTTTGACAAACATCAACATGAAGCAGCATACTACACTGATAAGTCCTTACACATTTGGTAGTTTTTGGGAACTCTTTGGAAGTGAACAAATTTTTATACGTGGTAGAGCCACACTGCAGCTATATTATGGTTGTAGCACGAATGGGTCGGCTCAACCGGGGAAGGACCACGGTCTCACGGTACACCAGCGTATATATAATATATAACAGCGTATAAATAATAATGCTGTGTTTCGTATGGTGAATGTAGAGATCCGGAGACTGTTTTTTACTGGAAACGAGGCATTCCATCTTAGTCCTTAGTGGTGAAAAGGCATCTGCGTTTTGATTCTAAGCGAGGATAAATGTAGATCTATGGGCCACAGCATCCACTTACCATCAGGTGGACTGTGTGCTCGGTTTGTCACCATTATTCCATAAACAAAATTTCAGTCGCTTATTTGAAGTAGGTATATTGGAACGCTGAATGTCTAGTATATTGTTAGCCCAATTCGTTTCCTGGTTCGTTGTAGGTCCTTCTGTTAGTTCGTCTGTAGGTCCGTCTTTTGGTTCTTATATTTTCTGTTTTTTTTTCTGATTGACTAAACTGTGACACGTTTTATTTTCGGTTACGAAATTTTGAGTTCCCTTGAAAATGGATGATTATATAAGTCGTTCATTCTTTGTGAAAAAATCATACAGTTGGAAAAAACATCCAATTATGTCTCCATTTTCGTTTTTGCTGCTCTGCGTTCAAGCTTGTTTGATCCAGGTAAAAATCGAACATTATCTTACAATTTTTCTAAGTGTTTTATAAGGACTGATTTTTTGACTGGTTCTTAAATATTCTCATATTTAATGTAAAGTGTAGTAAAACGTAGTTAGGAAAGTTGCTTAAAAGAGGTATTTTTTCTCACCACAATGTGTGCAGCCAGTGTCTTGGCGCTGGAATTGGCTTGGGTTATGGTCCTACATTCTCCGCTGAGTACGGTCTCGGATGTGGATCTTCTTTAAACAATGAATTCGCTTAAGGCCCTGGACTCGGCTTTGGATACGGTCTCGCTGGCCCTGCTGGTATTGCTGGTCCTGCTTATGGAGGTGCAGGAATCGGTGACGTTGCGGTCGCTGGCGAGATGGGCGTCACTGGTGCCACTCTGCTAGCTGGTCAGGTGCCAATTCTTGGCGCTGTCAGATTCGGTGGTGAAGTCCCAGCCGGCGGTGTTGTTTCCATTGCGGGCAGTTGCGGCGGAAACTGCGGTTGCAACGGTCCCTACCTGTACTGAAAAATAACCAATCATAATTTTATAATTTATAGATATCAAAATTCAAATATATTTTACGATTTGTTGGTAAATCTCATGATTCATTTCTTCAATTAACCCTACTCGCATAATATAGAATATAGTAGTTAAAAATTTATAAGATCCGAAAGGTCAACACTACAAACTTCTCAGTATAGGAAGTGACAAAAATCGAAAATCTTTGGTATAAAATAGATAAAATAAAGTTTACATTAAATTATTAACTACATATAAAAAAGTCTTCTCGTATTCAAAATGCATAAGTAAATAGTAAAATTAATTAAAATTATAAAATTCGATTAGTTTTCCATTTCTTCAGTTATAATTTATCCACAATAAAATGTTCTCGAGGTGTGCAAAAATACGTAGTCACTTATATGCCTACACTCACACAAACATCCTCCTTGAGTTTCAAGGCTTGAAGCGTGGAGATGTCGAAATTTGAACGTTGAATGTTGGGACATCCTAATTAATCGGACTTGTGTCCACAGCATAGATTACCGGTCCACAGTAAGAGCGTGTCCCGCTCATACACAAATCAGGTAAAAGCGACTATATTGACCTAGATTAGCCTCCTTTACCGTCCTTTCTCCTAAAAATAATGGAGAGGATGCGTGAAAGATGAAAGTCAACTTACCGCCGCATGATAAACAGCATGGTTATTAGGGATGTTCGATGATCATCGATGTTAGAAATTAAAACATCGATGTTTTAACATCGATGTTACCACACCTTAAGCATCGAAACATCGATGATGCCACATGTCAAACATCGATGTCAATGAACCAATAATCGATTAATAACTTGTGAACAATGCGAACCCGCGAAATCAATATCAACTAAATATTTCGATGCATCGATCACCTAAAAAAATATCATTATGTTGTGTCAAACTCCCTGTAGAGTGTGAACTGTAATGTCTCGGTTGTAACTGCTTTCGCTTTGTTATTGTGGTGTCGTTGTCGGTTGTCGCCTAATAACTATTCTACATAAATTGATATTCAAATTAATTGTTTTTTCCCTTGCTGTCTATACACACATCATTTTGAAACAATATGTATCTACACAATATAAAGATATTTAGCTGTTTTTTGAGTTTGGGATAACAAGTTTATTGTTTGCTTGAAGTTTATGAAAATAAATCACTGGGCGATCATGAGCGTAGACAATTTCACTGCATAGTGCATTTTATAAACGGCTGTGGATACTTATTGCTTGGGCTACCTGATTAAAAATTGTGTGAACAAAGGTGTCGGAAAAGTCTATTATTTTGTTTTTGTGTAGTTTGTTAATTTTCCTACTATAATCATTTTTTATTTTGCAATAGGAGTAGTTAATATAAAACCTACGTCTAAATCGTAAATTAGGATAGTAAATTTTTTTAATATCAGATTTATATTTGTATAGGAACGTTTAAATATCAAAATAATAATATTCATAATTATCGGCAAAAAATATAACAAATTAACTAAATATTTGTTAAGTTTTCCCATTTTTCAAATTACTGTTTCACACTAAATGTTTTATAATTTTTTTTAATTTCATTAATAATAAACCATAAAAAACACTACAATTTTTTGTACATCTAATTTTAACCTACTAAATAGGTACATGTGCTATAACATCGACAATGGCCAACATCGATGTTTTGAGTAGGATAAACATCGAACATCGATGTTAAGCTATCGATATCAACGTTGATGTCATCATCGACGTTTCTGTAACATCGATCATCCCTAATGGTTATTGTTTTTTTTATAGAAGAGGGGGCAAACGACCATAAGGCTTTTTGCCCCTTTGCGCGACACTCCGTAAGCGTTCACTGAGCGAAGGTTATTAAAATAGCAAAGGCCAACAACTTATGTTTGAATTGTTTAAGCAACAGGCATCGCGTCGCTAATTGTAACTTTTTTTATAGAAGCCCTCTTCTATAACAAAGGAGAATACGATTCACCTGATGTTAAGTGACTATCGCCGCCCATAAACAACCACAACACCAGGGGAATTGCAGGTGCGTTGCAGGTCCTTTAGAAAGGAGTAAGCTTTTTTCTTGAAGATCCCTAGGTCGTATCGGTCCGGAAAAATCGTCGGTGATAAACTATTCCACAGAGAGGTCATACGCGGAAGAAAACTCTTAGTGAAACGTACAGTGGTGTACCGCCAAGCATCCAGATGTTGCGGATGGTATCGGGACTATTGCCGCGTAGTGCTTGCGTTCACGAAATTTGGCGGCTGGGATTAATCCGAACAATTCCTCAGAGCACTCCCCGTAGTATATGCGGAAGAAAATTCAAAGAGATGCGAAATCTCTTCGCAGCGCCAGTTAATCGAGCTAATCGGGAAGCACACGGTCGTCGACGATTCGAGCGCTGGATGCGGTCAAGTGGAAGGAGCTGGCACTGGGGAGCCTCAGCTCAGAGATGGGAACAGTATTTCATATGCGGCTGAACCCGCACCTTGTAAAGTTGCAGGCGGTTTGCCGGCATGAAATACTGTCCCACTCTGCTGAGCACGGCAAGCTTTTTAGAGGCCAATTTGGTCTTCTCTTCCAAGTGACCACGAAACAACTGCCACTACAAATGCGAAAACAGACACCATACATTGTTGCATTTTGAGAGTGGCACTATATCCGCGTTGTGACAGTGAGACTCCACCCGCCAAGGTCGACACTTCTAACGGGCGACTGGATGACGTTGCCCTGTGTTCACTGTCGAACGTGGGAAGGACCAACCGCGTCCCTTGCACTGTGCTATTGGGTACAGCGTGTATTATAGTTAGAGATTCGCATGAAAACGAACAGAGCGTTCGTACGTTATTACATAGTGCATTGCAGAGTAATTTCATAACACAGCAGTGCTGCCAACGTTTAGGATTGTTAGTGAATAGGACGCCTTCATGCCCCGTAGTAAAGGTAATTGGAGGTTTCAATAAAACGGTCCAAGGATCGATAAATTTAAAACTTTATTCTCGTTTAGACCGTAGTATTAATTTTAATATAAATTCATTAGTAGTAGATAAGGTCACCGAGCGCCTGCCAACGGTTTCGGTCATCGGAGCATCTGTCTTCCCTCACCTTTTGCTACACAATAAGGTCAGGGGTGACTCCTCGTGTACTGTACCCTATGCATAAGAATTAGAGACCGTTTTGGGTTACGTTATTATTGATTCCGCTCCCATCATGGATAATATTTCGGCAACCTCTTTATTGTTGCACGGCTGTCGAACCGCTCGAGTCATGAGCTCGCAAATTTTAGGAGATGGGGGAGGTGAACGTTCCACCTTTACTTATCCCGGATGATAGATTATGCGAGAAAATTTATGTCCGCACGACCGTTCGTGATCGCGATGGTCGATATAGTGCACAGAACACTATTACTTCATATAGTGTAGTGCTGCCCTTTAAAGGGGATATTTTGTCACTCGGTGAATTGCGTCAAATGGCAAAAAAAAGTTTGTATTGTATGGAGCACAAGATGTTCGCTTTGCCCAAATTAAAGGAAGCTTATTACGGTGTTATTAATGAATATATAAAGGAGGATTATATATCGCTTGTGTCTCCAAAAATAGATAACTATGAAGACACGCCGTCATATTTCATACCACATCACGGTGTCATTAGAGAAGACAAACTTACATCGAAGTTACGTGTGGTGCCCAGGGCCCGATGCTAGTGCTAGAACTAGCACTCACCTTTCAACGATATTCTTTATAGTGAGCAAAATTTACAGGGCAATTATTTTAATATAAGAGTAAATTTTCGTTTGTTTTGTATTGCGTTATCCGCTGATATTCGCCAAATGTTTCTTTGTATAGGGGTTCGTAAATGCGATAACGCATTTTATATCGCTTTGACCCAAAGGAATATCTAAAGGTGTTTGAATTTAACCGCGTTTGTTTTTGTTTAAAGTCGAGCCCATTTCAAGCGCTACGCACGGTGAATAGCTCGCCGCCGACGAGGGTTCTTCTTAACCTAAGGCTAGGAAGGCAATTGAGAGTGATTTATATATGAGCGATTTCGTGTACTCGGTCGATAACGTAGAGGAAGCCATCTTAACCACCGCCGAAGTTATAAAGCTCATGAAAGCGGGTCAATTCGATCATATCAAATGAACTAGTAATTCGCGTATGGTTTTGGATACAATCCCACTATCACACCGCCTTTCGGCTGTAAAAGAATTCATTGATTCTGATACGCCCAAGGTGCTCGGTTTGTGTTTGTGACCAGAGTCCGACGTGTTTAGCCTTAAGGTAAATCCGCCTTCGAAAAAAAAACCTCGTGCACAAAGCGCACGATACTGTCTTGCGTTGCTAGATTATGGGATTTCATAGGTTTTGTAGCACCGGTAATGTTATACGCGAAGCTTTTGAATAAGCAACTTTGGTTATGTGAATGTGATGACACGCCGCCTGATAACATTGTTCGTTCGTAGCTACGTTTTAGGGAGGAACTTTCTTTACTAAGCGTAATTAAAATACCACGTCACATAAACGTCGGTAAAGATAGCGTCGTCATTGTCGTTGGGTTTGCGGACGCTAGCGATAAAGCTTACGGGGGCGTTGTATATTTTCACGTCCAGAACAATCGTAAAAATTCGATCAGCCTCATTAGCTTTAAATCAAGGGTGTCCCCCGTAAGGCTGTCTCTCTCGCGTCCCTAGAGCTTTGCGCAATTTTGGTCCTTGCGAAGATTATCACCGTAGTAACTAATGCATCGAGTTCACATAGATAAAATATTTGCCTTTTCCCACTCAACCGTCGCCTTATATTTGGTTCATTCTTCATCCCATCGTTGGGACACTTTCGTCGCGAACCGAGTGGTCAAGATCCAAGATGAGTTAGGATCACAAAATTTTTCTCATGTGTCCGGTACAGAAAACCCTGCTGATTGTCTATCTCGTGGATTCACTCCGATAAAAATAATAGAACACCCGCTTTGGTTTCAAGGACCTTCTTGGATTCACTTGGAACCCTCGCAGTGGCCC